TCTTTAAAGGGGAAATTGTGCCCTGATTTACATATTGCTTGGGATAAAAGAGGCCCTCAGTGCATTCACATAGAGGTTTTCTGGACAGACTTAGCATACGTGTCTTTCAAATAATGCTCAATTCCTATGAAAAGTGATCCCAGATATACTTTGTTCTTTTTTTCCTGTGAGTAAACAGTGAAGAGTTCTTCATGTGTTTTAGCAAACAGAAAGTTGGTCACAACTGATAAGTTTGACTCACCTACTTCAATATTAGAGCTTTTCCAGATCACCAGTAGAGAAAATGAAAGGGGTTCTGCTCTACTTTCCTGCAGGGAGATATAACTTCCCCTGTTTAATTGAGGCCATGAAAGCTGACTCAGCTTGCTTTGCAGCTGACCAATCAGGGATTTTGTCAAGCTTCACCATAGCTTCCTCTCACTGTGTGTCTCTAGCACAATAATACACAGCTGTGTCCTCTGATTTCAAGCTGTTCATTTGGAGATAAAGCATGCTGGAGGCATCATGCCGGGAAATGGTGAATCGGCCTCTCACAGAATTGGCATAGTATTGGCTGCTCCCATCTCCATCATTTTCTATCCATGCAACCCACTCCAGTCCTTTCCCTGGAGCCTGTCTCACCCAGGCCATCTCATAGCTGCTGAAGGTGAAGCCTGAAGCTTGGCAGGAGAGATGGAGGGTCTCCCCTGGCCTTCTCACATCTCCTCCAGATTCCACCAGCTGGACCTTCATTTGGACATCTGGAAAGGAAATAATGATATGTATATTTTAACTAACTAGCATGCTGCAGTCCATGAACCTCAAACATATTGGAGCCTGTTAGCTTCCATCTCTTTGTGGAAGAACCATTACCGTTGATGATTGCTAGAATAGAAATGAGTTGGAACAAAAATATCATTTTTCTTTCTCAGTGGAGAAGTTCCAGGCAGGCTACCTTCTGCTCTTTAGGTTGAGGAGGGTGGGAGATGATGTCATATATAGAGGAAGGTTAGGCCTGTATTTACATACACTTCAGGATAAAAGGGACCAGTGTTGTCTTTTAATATCAGCAAGAGTTTTTAAAAAACTTGAAAGGGTGTATAAACATAATGTTCACCATACTGTATGAATTAACAATTTTATGACAGGTTCTGCATTATTTAAAGACCAGTTCATCCCATTACTGTATATGGTTCAATGGACTTTTAAAAGGAATCTTCCATTGAATGTAATTTAAGGTCCTTTGCTACAGCAAAAGACTTTATTCATATTATTAATCCTCATATATTAGAATGCATTTCAAACACAATCATTAATACATGTATTTTTATAGTAATTTCCTTTATTGACTTTTATTGAAGCATTATAAAAATTAGGCATTGATAAGAGTGCCTGTTTTTACTGCTTATGTTGTGCTCGATGATCAACATGGAATCATTAAGTGGGCACCATATAAAAACTGATAAAGAAATTTAACAAGTTCTAAAAGTGGAGTAAGATAACAATGCAATAAAATCTTGAATAAAAAAGATAATGTGAAATACCATTTCCACATCTTATTTATTTCTATAGTTTTTTTCTGATGTTTCAAACTGAATTGAGAAATCAGTGCAAATAACCAGGGCTTTTTTTCTCATAGAATGCCCAGAACGGAGTTCTGGCACTTTTTTTTGGGATGGAATCTTGTAGGGTAGGCAAGGCGGTTTGTATGACGTGTGTGAGTTCCAGCACTTTTTTTTTTTTTTTAGAAAAAAAGCACTGCAAATAACTATAACATTGAAAATAGTTTTTTTCTGTTCCAACTAAAGGATTACATTTCCAAGGGACATGAAAAAAGGGAGATAACCGGAAAATCGTTTAAACAAATGAGATGTATACTTTGGATGCAAGTATTAATCACTCTTTTTAAAAAAAGGTTGAAGCCAGAACAAGAAGCAATGAGTGGAAACCAATCAAGGACAGAACATCCTAGAACTAAGGAAGAATTTCCTGACGGTTAGAACAATTAACCAATGGAAAGACCTGCCTCCAGATGTTGTAGGTGCTCCAATATTGGAAGTTTTTATGAACCAATATCCCTCCCAGCTCTATTCTGATTCAAGTTGAAAGCCAGACATTGACTTCAGTCACAGCTTTGGCAATGCTACCCAGTGTCCTAAATGTGGGGAGGGGGAAGAGATAGAGAATTATTTCTGTTTTATTCTGTGTTTGTGTGTCTTTCAGGTGTTTGGTTTGTGTGCCACTGTAATCCTAGAGCAGCAAGGGAAAGGCTGTATTGCTGGTATATGAGATGGTTTCAGTTTCTCTTCCTCCCACTGTGTATCTTGCACAATAATAGAATGCTGTGTCTTCTTGTTTCAGGCTGTTCATTTGTGGATACATCTGGCTGTTGGCGTTGTCTCTGGAGATGGTGAAGCATCCCTTCATTTGTTCAAATAGTAGGTTTCTCTTCCATCACTTTGTATCCATGCCACCCATTCTGGGTCTTTTCCTGGGGTTTGCCTCAGCCAGTTCATGTTACTCCCACCAAAGTTGAATCCTGATGCTTGGCAGGACAGACGGAGGGACTCTCCATGTCTTCTCACATCCCCAACAGATTCCACCAACTGGATCTCAGATTGGACACCTGGAAAAAAAGAATAATTTCTAGTTATGTGGCATATAAAAAGAGAGAAATGTAAGAAATGTATGAATAAGAATATTTACCTCTGAGAACTGCTACTAAATATGACCAATAGAACCAAGGTATCATTTTTTGTACACTTGGATGGGAGATGGTATGAAAAGCATTCAAACATGCAGCTACCTTTTATATTTCTGCTTGCAACCTGGGAACAAAAGTGGTCTGGCTTATTTAGAGATGAAGCCATCCTGCAATTTACATATCCCTCAAAATAAAAAGCCTTCTCATTCCTTTCTTCTTCTCAGTTTCTTGGACGTCTATTGAAGATATATTTTAGTGATGGTTAGCAATTATCTAGAATAGCAGAGAAGGAGGAACAGGAATGTTTATGCAGAATGAAAGGGAGTTTTTGCAGACTTGATAAAACAATGAAAAGGAGAGCTTTCTCTCTGCCCCCCCCCCCCAAAAAAAACAAACTACTTTTAAAAGCCAAGTAGAAAACTGATAATTCAGTACATTTTACTTGGGGTGAGAACTTTGACATAAAAAATGCTGCAAGTGAGTTTACAAATAACTCTTATATTTTTATATAAGCATGACTTGTTTTATTAATTAGATACAGGGAAGGAATATTCATCACCTCCAGGGATGATTCTAATAGCCAGATGTATCAGTACATATACAGCGTACACAGAATCAACTAGACAGAATTATTTATGTAGACATATTACAGGCAACATTAAAGAGGTAAAACATCTAGGTTCTTAAACTTTCTTAAAGTGTTGTTTCTTTTTTGGAGGGTTCTCAATAATGGACAGTAGAGTTGTCCTTAATTTTTCCTTGATTTTGATATACAAGTAGTCTTCAACTTACAACCATTATCTTAGCAAGTGAAGTTACTCCATCCACCTACCAATCTGAAGTTGAAGTTCTGTAATGAAGCCTCCCCATAGTCAAGTGATTGCATTTTGGTGCTTAGCAACTGACCCACATTTATAGTCAATCAATCAATCAGTCAATCAATCAATCAGAAAAGAGCTGGAAGGGACCATGCTGTCTTCTAGTCCAACCCACTGCTTAAGCAGAAAACCCTATATCATTTCAGATAAATGACTGTCCAATCTCTTCTTAAAAACCTCCAGTGATGAAACACCTATAACTTCTGAAGGCAAGGTGTTCCACTGGCTAATTGTCCTCAATGTAAGGAAGTTTCTCCTTGATCCCAGATTACTTCTCTCCTTGATTAGTTTCCATCTATTGTGTCTTCTTTTCCCTTCTGGTGTTTTGGAAAATAAATTGACCCCCTCCTCTTTGTGACAGGTCCTCAAATACTGGGATATTGCTATCATGTCCCCCCGATTCTTCTTTTCTCTAGACTAGCCATACCCAAATTCTGCAACCATTCTTCATCTTAGTTTCTCTTCTCTGAACTTTTTCAAAAGTCTCAAAAACTTTTTTTGTATTTTTTTCTTTTATATATTTTTTTGAAAAATCATTTTTCAATAGTCATTTGAAGCACCTCATGGTGAAAGGAATATGATCTTTTTTATTTCTGGAAACTACTTTGGCTTCTGGATTGCGGAAAAGTTGCCCAATGGGAAAAAATGGGCTTGCTTAATAACTGCTGTGTTCACTGCAATAAAGGTAGTAAATTTAGGTGCAATCATATGATGTCCTGCTTTATGACCATCTGACTTACCAGGTTCAATTACAGTCATAACATGAGGACTAACTGTACATGTGTATGATTCTGGCTTTAATATTATTTCTAAAGTCAATGAAACAACAACAATAACCTTCCATTTTACTCATCAACCAGCATTCATGAAATCAGTAAATGAGATATGAGGGCTTTTTTTTTTTTTTTTTGGTATACATACTGAAGCTTTTTATGTAAGATATTTAAAAAACTTTGAGAACTTTTGGGGAATTAATTTCCAAAGGAATCATTATTATTTTTTTCCTTCAAGAAACTATTTTAATTCTCCAGGAAGCAGCTGGAGAAGCAGTCATGTTCACAGCTGAAACCACAGATTTTATTTCAGTCATGGTCAAAATTATTACATGTTTTGCGCCTCCTTGTGACGTCCATTTGAAAACAAAAACAAAAAACAGAAGGCAGTTGGATTTGTCACCAGAGATGGCAAAGCACTCTTTCATGGATTCTGCATAGATTTATTTACTGACATCATAAAATTCATTCTCTTCCATTCCTTGGAGCCTGTCACACCCAACTCACAACTGGTAATTGTGTAGCTCTATGAACCATTACTGATTCCTTGTAACTGTAAATGCAGAGGTTCTTTCATCTTTAATTCAAGAAGAGAATATTATTTTGGGGTTCTATTTTCCTTAATTTATCTGGGTCTAATTTGTTTTTAAAGTCTTAAAGTGTTCTACAGATCCATGGAATATGTCTATTGCTGTGATGTAGATTGATCACCTTCTGCTCAGTTCAAAGACTCAAATTCAACTTTCTGGGACTGAATCCAGTTGGAGATCTGCTCTAAGGGACAGAAGGTTCTTGTCTGGATTCAGATTCACTTCCTCTCACTGTGTATCTAGCACAGTAATAGACAGCCGTGTCTTCAGCTTTGAGGCTGCTCATCTGCAGATACATCTGGCTTTTGGCATTGTCCCTGGAGATGGTGAAGCGTCCCTTCACTTTGTCTGAGTAGAACTTTCCACTGGAATCAGAATAGATGCGTGCAACCCATTCCAGTCCTTTCCCCGGAGCCTGTCTCACCCAGCTCATGCTGTAGCCACCAAAGTTGTATCCAGAACCTTGGCAGGAGAGACGGAGGGACCCTCCAGGTCTTCTCACATCCCCTCCAGACTCCACCAATAGGACCTGGGATCGGACACCTAAAATGAAAGGTGTTTTTTTTTTTTTAGCAAACATTCTTGCATAAAATAATTAAAATGGAAAAACCTGTGTATATAAGATAGAATTACCTCTAAAGACCGCTAGTAAGGAGACCAAGTTAAGCCACAGGATCATTTTTGCTCCTTCTGATAAATGGAGGAGAACTGATAGTAGAGAATTTGGGAAAGCACACAAACTTTTCGTTGGTGGGTGTAGCCTGAAAAGGGAAACCATGCATTTCTTTAAAGGGGAAATTGTGCCCTGATTTACATATTGCTTGGGATAAAAGAGGCCCTCAGTGCATTCACATAGAGGTTTTTTGGACAGACCTAGCATACGTGTCTTTTAAATAATGTTCAATTCCTATGAAAAGTGATGCCAGATATATTTTGTTCTTTTTTTCCTGTGAGTAAACAGTGAAGAGGTCTTCATGTGTTTTAGCAAACAGAAAGTTGGTCACAACTGATCAGTTTGACTCACCTACTTCAGTATTAGAGCTTTTCCAGATCACCAGTAGAGAAAATGAAAGGGGTTCTGCTCTACTTTCCTGCAGGGAGATATAACTTCCCCTGTTTAATTGAGGCCTGAAAGCTGAGTCAGCTTGCATTGCAGCTGACCAATAAGGGATTCTGTCAGTCTTCACCATAATGTCCTCTCACTGTGAGTCTCCAGCACAATAATACACAGCTGTGTCCTCTGGTTTCAAGCTGTTCATTTGGAGATAAAGCATGCTGGAGGCATCTCGCCGGGAAATGGTGAAACGGCCTTTCACAGAATTGGCATAAGTGTGGCTGCTCCCATCTCCATTATTGTCTATCCATGCAAGCCATTCAGGACCTTTCCCTGGAGCCTGTCTCACCCAGAGCATCTCATAGCTGCTGAAGGTGAAGCCTGAACCTTGGCAGGAGAGACGAAGGGATTCCGCTGGCCTTCTCACATCCCCTCCAGATTCCACCAGCTGGAGCTCCATTTGGACATCTGGAAAGGAAATATTGATATGTACATTTTAACTATCCAGCATGCTGCAGTCCATTAACCTCAGGCCTATTGAAGACTGTTAACTGCCATCTCTGTCTGGAAGAACCATTACCTTTGATGATTGCTAGAATAGAAATGAGTTGGAACAAAAATATCATTTTTTCTTTCTCAGTGGAGAAGTTCCAGGCAGACTAGCTTCTGCTCTCCAGCCACAGCTTGAAAAAGGTGGGAGATGATGTCATATAAAGAGGAAGGTTAGGCCTGTATTTACATAAATATCAGGATAAAAGAGAACCAGATTTGACTGATAATACCACCAAGAGTTTTTGAAAAACCTGAAAGTGTATATAAAGGTTACGTTCATCATATATATCAATTTAATCCTATGACAGGTACCCCCCCATTTCTTTTTTTAAAGACTGGTTTATCCCATTTCTGTAAATGGTTCAGAGGAGTTTTGGAAGGAATTTTCCATTTAACGTAATTTAATGTTTATTGCTTCAGGAAAACACTTCTTACTCATAATAATCAGACAATCATAATAAAACTGGAAGGGACCTTTGGTGATTTCCTCCTGCTCAAGCAGGAGATCCTGTACCATTTCAGACAAGTGACAGTCCAGTCTTTTCTTTTCTTAAAAATCTCCAGTGATGAAAGACCTACAACTTCTGAAGGCAAACTGTTTTTAATCTTCAGATACTATAATGCACTTCACACACTATCATGAATGCATGTTTCCTATATATCATTTTTTTTGCAGTGGTTCTCAACCATTTGGGGTTGAATGACCATTTCACGGGGGTCACCAAACAACGCAGTCTGCTATTTTTTACCCCTTTTCCTTAGCTGTGCTACTCCCTTTTATTCTATTGGCTTTTGAAAGCCAATAGAATAGACTCTCTTGAATAGAATCTAATTCTATTGGCTTTCAAAAGCCAACAGGAATTGTCCAGGCTGTCTCTGCCCTGCTGAGCCCGCCAAAAGTCCCATTCTGCAAATGGTGCTGCACCAGTTGAGTAGTCCTTGACTTACGACCGGTTGAGTAGTCCTCGACTTACGACCGGTTGGGAGTCGTGGCATTAAAAAGGTTGAGAACCACTATTTTATTGACTTTTATTGAAGCATTATAAGAATTGGGCATTGATAAGGAGCCCCTGGTATTACAGGTTATGTTATGTCCCATGATCATTCAAGTGGGCATAATATAAAAAATGGTAAACAGAGGAATTCAACAACTTCCATAAATGGATAAGCTAAAAATACTACAAATATTAAATAAAAAATAATAATATTATAAAATACGATCTTCACTTCCCATTTATATCTACAGGTTTGTTCTGATGTTTCAGACTGAATAGGAGAATAATGCAAATAACTGTATTAGTTTGAAAATTATTTTTTGTTCCAACTTAAGATATAAAGACATTAAAAAGGGGGAGGATTGGGATTTTTACAATTAATGTTTTTTATAAATTTTATGGATTGATGGATTTGTATTAGAAATGTATTAATCTGAATACGTTACATGATTGGTGGGAACTAGAGAGGGAATTTTTAATGACTTAATTTGAATTATATATAAATGTGTTTGTTTTTGGATAATTGACTACCCCATCACCATGCTGTTTCCTAAGCACTTTGTTGTAAAAACTGAAATACTTAATAAAGCTTGTATTAAAGAAAGGGGAAGACAGGAAAGTCCTCTAAACAAATGAGGGATATCTACTGGGGATGCAAAATATTAATCAATTTCAATAAAAGAGGTTGAAGGTAGGACAAGAAGCTACAGATAGAAACTAATCAAAGAAAGGACCAACCTAGAACTAAGGAGGAATTTCCTGACAGTTACAACAATAAATCAGTGGGATGACTTGCCTCCATAAGTTGTGTGTGCTCCATCACTGCAGGTTTTCAAGAAGAGATTGGACATTTATTTGTCTGAAATGCTATAGGGCAGTGGTTCTCAACCTGTGGGTCAGGACCTCATTTGGGGTCGAACGACCATTTCACGGGGGTCGCCAAACAATGCAGTCTGCCATTTTTTCCCCTTTTTCTTAGCTGTGCTACTCCCTTTTATTCTATTGGCTTTTGAAAGCCAATAGAATAGACTCTCTTGAATAGAGTCTAATTCTATTGGCTTTCAAAAGCCAATAGGAATTGTCCAGGCTGTCTCTGCCCTGCTGAGCCCGCCAAAAGTCCCAGTCTGCAAACGGTGCTGCACCAGTTGAATAGTCCTCGACTTACAACCAGTTGAGTAGTCCTCGACTTACGACCGGTTGGGGGTCGTGGCATTAAAAAGGTTGAGAACCACTGCTATAGGGTCACCTGCCTGATCAGGGAGTTGGACTAGAAGACTTCCAAAGTCCCTTCTAACTTTGTTATTCTGTTATTCCTATTAAGCCTTATAAACATTTAGAGAGACAATTGTGACAGAGCTTGGTTACTACTGATATTACTGATCCCTCAATCTTTCATTCATCTCAATATTTTGGAAGAGACAAGTGAAAAATCAGTTTGTGCTGAATTGATGTCCTGGTAGAATGAAAAACAGGAATAAGGCCCTAAAACCAATTCAGTATGGATTACTTTTAAAGAAGGAGAGTTAGAGGGGAGTCTTCTTTGGTTTTCATAGAGAACAGTGAAATTTTTCAAGCAAAACCCTTGGAGAATAATATGCAGTAGGATTTTACAGAGAAGGCTGCCCTCTACTGCTAAACAGATGGAGCAGAGGTAGCAAGTTTAATATCTACTTCTCTTCTAAACAGGGAAATTAGCCTTGGGGAGAGTGATTGATCTCCAGGAGAAAAGTGACTGTAGAGCCAAAGCTGATTTCAAAATTGTTCATGGGAAATTATTTTGATTAGTAACTCTGGCATAATTTTTAGGGAGTGGAGAAGGAGGAAAATATTATCATGACTCCTAAATTTAACAAGATTATGGAGTGTATGTCTTGGAAATAATGTTTTGAATCATTCAAACAAATCTCCAACAGTTCAAGGAGTGTAGAAGTCACCTTGACACATGCTCCTCTACAATCTGTTTTAAATCCTGCAGTGAAAGGTATGTAGAAGAGAATTCAGGGCATATTCTATGGATCCATGGAATATTCTACATGTAGATTGATCACCTACTCCTCAATTCAAAGACTCATATTCAACTTTCTGTGACTGAATCTGGCTGGAGATCTGCTGTGAAGGAGAGAAGGTTCTTGTCTGGCTTCAGATTCACTTCTTCTCATTACTGATTCCTTGTAACTGTAAATACAGAGGTTCTTTCACCTTCAGTTCAAGAAGAAAATATTACTTTGGGGTTCTATTTTCCTTAATTTATATGGATCTAATTTGTTTTTAAAGTCTTAAAATGTTCTACAGATCCATAGAATATGTCTATTGCTGTGATGTAAATTGATCTCCTGCTCAGTTCAAAGTCTCAAATTCACCTTTCTGTGACTGAATCCAGTTGGAGATCTGCTCTGAGGGACAGAAGGTTCTTGTCTGGCTTCAGATTCACTTCCTCTCACTGTGTCTCTTGTACAGTAATAGATGGCCGTGTCTTCAGCTTTGAGGCTGTTCATTTGCAGATACAGCTGGCTTTTGGCATTGTCCCTGGAGATGGTGAAGCGTCCTTTCACTTTGTCTGAGTAGAACTTTCCACTGGAATCAGAATAGATGCGTGCAACCCATTCCAGTCCTTTCCCCGGAGCCTGTCTCACCCAGCTCATGCTGTAGCCACCAAAGTTGTATCCAGAACCTTGGCAGGAGAGACGGAGGGACCCTCCAGGTCTTCTCACATCCCCTCCAGACTCCACCAACAGGACCTCAGATTGGACACCTAAAATGAAAATTGTTTCAGAAAACTTTCCTAATCCAAGAGTTAAAAAGGAAAAAGCTGAATACAGAAGATAGAATTACCTCTAAGGACCAGAAGTAAAGATACCAAGTTTAGCCACAGAATCATTTTTGCTCCCTCTAATGAATGGAGGGAAACAGGTGGTAGAGAATTTGGACTAGTGCAGAAACTTTGTCTTGGTGGGTGTAGCCTGAAAAGAGAAACCATGCTGTTCCTTTAAAGGGGAAATTGTGTCCTGATTTACATATTACTTGGGATAAAAGAGCCCCTCGGTGCATTCACTTAGAGATATTTTTTGGGACAAACCTTACATGTGTGGTTTTCCAATAATGTTCCAGTCCTAAGAAAAGTGATGCCAGACATGTTCTATGTTTGTTTTCCTGCAATATATAAGAGAAAGGGCAGGTTTACTTTAGAATAAGTAAAACAAAAACTTAAATAATTCCATCACTCGTCAAAAATGAGTCAATGTAGTAGAGAATTTATTCTCTTAACTATAACAGAGTTAAGAGATTTCCTTCCTTCCTTCCTTCCTTCTTTCCTTCCTTCCTTCCTTCCTTCCTTCCTTCCTTCCTTCCTTCCTTCCTTCCTTCCTTCCTTCCTATATTAAATTGTGACTAAGCCTTGAGGAACAATTTCTAATGCACAACTCAAAAAGACAAAATCAAATAATGTTAGGTCCCAATATGTTCTCTTCCTTGAATGAGAATGTTCTAAAGATCCTTTTTTTATTCTCCAAGAAATTCAGTTTTCAAAATTTATTTATTTATTTATTTATGAGACTTATATACCGCTTTAAGTGCAAGCACTCTCTAAGCGGTGTACACCAGTAAGCAATGTATATATATATATATTTACATTGCCCCCAACAATCTGAGTCCTCATTTTACCTACCTCGGAAGGATGGAAGGCTGAGTCAACCTTGAGCCGGTGAGATTTGAACCGCTGACCTGCTGAACACAGTCAGCTAAAGTGGCCTGCAGTACTGCACTCTAACTGCTGTACCACTTCGGCTCATTAAAATTAAGAAATTCAAAATATCTTTTCTTATTATCCAAGAAATTCAGTTATCTTTTACATCTTACCCTTTCATCCCACACCAGTCAGTTAGAACTGAAGTTACTTCTTAGATGAGAAGTGAAATATTTTCAAAGAAAACACCAAGAAGTCCAGTTGCTTTTTGGGAAAAAAAACCACCACCTTTGGGACAACAATGACCTGGATGACTGAGAATCTCCATAGACAAGAATTTCATTAGGATTAGATAGCAAGCCACCATTGTTTGTTCGCTATATCAGTTACTTGTCTTGATTTCTTCAAACTTTATTTGCCTTTTTCTAATAAACAGTCATTCTCTACTTTGACATCATAGATTTTTTGCAACAAATCTGAGATTGTGGGCAAGCTCTTATGATAGACACGTTTAATTATTAGTATGGAGGAAAATGGGAAGGGTTGCTTTTGAGTAAATATTTGCTTACTTCGCAGTGTGGACATTGTGGGGCTGATTTTCCTAAGTGAAAAACTATACCTGCACAGAATGAGACCACTGGATTTTTTTTTTCACTTTAATTTCCCTGGTTAAGCAAATTAGTTGAGGGATTCAGGTCTTATTCACCCCCCCCCAAAAAAAAATAAAGGTTACTTGGGAGGAAGCCAAGTCAAGACATCCATTTTTTTTATATATTAAATTGTAACAGGAGCAACTAAGGAACTACATCAAGGCAGGAAGACAGTCCAAAATATTGCATTTCAGAAGGCTTGTGGGAGAGGAGGTTTGCACTATCCAATGGCCCAATCCTACTGAGGGGAGAGAACTTCAGGATTCAGGGCATTAAATATATATTGATATAGAAAGAATTGAAATGGGCAACATGTCTAAAAGAATTAAACAAAAGAGAGTTAGTAACACTGAGAATCAAAGGATTCTGAACTGCAGACATATCCAGGAAGATCTGTAGGACATCAATCCATATTTCCACCTGTAAATAAATTTTATTTTTTTAAAAAGTGTTGAAAGAAAAATCACCAGGTCCAGTTCCAAGCTGGGAGTAGGCTAGGACACTGGAAATAAAAATGGAGGCTGTTTGGAAAGAAGGTTCTTGTTTATTTTGTTGCCAGAAACTTCAGTGACACAGCATGTTTCTGGGATGGCTGACAAAATGGAGCTGGGAGTGGATGGATTTTTATATCTTCTTGGGCTTTGTATTTGAGGTTGTTCCTGCTCCTGTGCAATGTATTTTGACCTGAGCTTGAGTGTGCCCTTTTGGTATTCTAATGCTGGTGGGTTAATCCTATTATGTCCTAAAGGTCATCTTCCTGTCCTTGGAGTTGTGTGAGGAATGCCTTTGTTTTTCTAATCCCATCAGCTTCTCTGGGGCTGTGGCTGAAGGCATTTTGCTTATGAATAGATGGCCCAGTCTTTCTGAATAGGATTAGCAAATCTACATTTCTAAAGAGCTGGCCTGCTCAGTTTCTGCTTGGAGGGAAGAGAGGCTGGTTTCTGTCTTTTAAGATTTTCCCCCATTAATCCTTTGGGGAAATATAATATTCTGTCTTTTTTTTAATATCCCTCCAAATATTTCCTTCTCTCTCTCTCTCTCTCTCTCTCTCTCTCTCTCTCTCTCTCTCTCTCTCTCTCTCTCTCTCTCTCTCTCTCTGTGTGTGTGTGTGTGTGTGTGCTGACTTCCTACAAAAACTATCCAGATTTCCTGTTTTGTTTGCCCTCCTATCAAAGTACTAACAAGGTTCCACATTGCTTATTTAAAGATTGGATACAAGGTTGTGCCTCCTGTCATAGAGATTTATCTTCTGCTTCTTGGTTCAAATACACAAATTCAATTTTTTGAATCAATTTGGAGAGATGCTCAGAGGAAGAGAAGGTTTTTGCCTGGTGTCTGATTCACTACCTCTCACTGTGTTTCTTGTACAGTAATAGACAGCCGTGTCCTCTGGTTTCAGATTTTTCATTTGCAGATAAAGCTGATTGTGGGAATTATCCCTGGAGATGGTAAACTGTCTATTGACTTTATTTGTGTAGTAAGTGGAAGGATATAAGCCTGTACCTATTAAAGCCACCCATTCCAGTCCTTTCCTTGGAGCCTGTCTCACCCAGCTCATGACATAGCTCCTGAAGGGGTATCCAGAGGCTTGGCAGGAGAAATAGAGGGAATCTCCAGGTCTTCTTACATCCCTCCAGACTCCACCAACTGGACCTCAGATTGGACTTCTGAAAACAGAAGTGTTTCAATAAAATCTTCTACATAAAAAAAAATGAATATGGAAGGAGATTTTTTTTTTTAAAAAAGAAAGAAAAATTACCTGGAAGTAGCAATAACCAGAGCACCAAATTCAGCCACGGGATCATTTTTGCCCCTATAATGAATGGATTCAAGAAAGTGCACAAACTTTGTGTTGGTGGGTGCATCCTGAAAAGGGAAATCATGTGGCTTTAAAGGGGGAAATGTGCCTCAATTTACATATCACTTCAGACAAAAGATCCCCTCAGTGCATTAATCTCACAGTTTTCCTTGTACGGTCCTTACATGGGTGACTTTCATATAACATTTGACACTCTTAATAAAAGTGAAGGTAGGCTCTTTCTTTTCTTTTCTTTTTACTCTAAATTCAAATGGCAGTTTTATATTAGAGTAATTAAAGCAAAGGTTTGCAAAATTTTACCCCTTCTCAAAAGTGATTCAAAGTAACAGGAGATGAACATACAATTATAATTTTGAAAGAGCTACATTGGAGCTTTCTTTGAAGATGTTTCATTTCTCATCGAAGAGTTAAGAAATTTGCTACTTCCTTCGTTCTCTCCTTCTTTTCTTCATCCCCTAGGTCCCTCGCTCCTTCCTTCCTTCCTTCCTTCCTTCCTTCCTTCCTTCCTTCCTTCCTTCCTTCCTTCCTTCCTTCCTTCCTTCCTTCCTTCCTTCCTCCTTCACTCCCTCCCTCAGCCTGGTGTCTGATTCACTTCCTATCACTGTGTCTCTCACATGCAGTAATAGCGGTGTCCTCCATTTTGAGATTGTTCATTTGCAGATACAAATGGGTGAGGGAATCATCCTTGGAGATGGTGAACCGTCCATTCAGTTTATTTGAGCAGAATGTGGAAGGAGGTGAGTTATTCTTTATGCCAGCCAGCCTTTTCTTTCCTTTCCCTGGAGCCTGTCTCATCCAGTCCATCCAGTAGCGACTGAAGGTAAATCCAGAGGCTTGGCAGTAAAGACGGAGGGACCCTCCAGGTCTTCTCATGTGCCATCCAGACTCCACCAAGTGGTGCCCATAGTGAACTTCTAAAATAAAAGTGTTTCATTGAAATCTTCTGTGTACACACACACACACACACACACACACAAAAAACATAACATGGAAGGAAAGTTTTTAGAGAGGAAAGAATTACCTTGGAGGAATACTAGTAAGGGTGGCAAATTCAACCATGGGGTCATTTTTGCTCCTGTAATTAATGGAGGGAATTGATGGAAAGGATTCAGGAAAGTGCACAAACTTTGTGTTAGTGGGTGTAGCCTGAAAAGGGAAACCATGAAGCTCCTTTAAAGAGGCCCTGATTTAAATATTGCTTCAGATAAAAGAGCCCCTCAGTGCATTCACTTAGAGATAATTTTTTGGAAAGACCTTACATCTGTGACTTTCAGATAATGTTTCAGTCCTAAGAAAAGTGATGCTAGACATGCTTGGTTTTTGTTTTCTTGTGAATACCTGGGAGAAAGTGCAAGTTTACTTTACAATGAGTAAAACAAAGACTGGAATAATTCTACCACTTCTCCAAAACCTATCTTCTAACTCAGGGGTGTCAAACTCAAATTTTATTGAAGGACACATCAGCATTGCAGTTGCCCTCAGGCGGTGCGGGGGGCTATGGCCAGGGTGGGTGCAGCCTACTGGGTGGGCGTGGATGGAGTGGGTGTGGCCTACTGGGTGGGCGTGGCCAGCTCTACATCACCAGATTGTTGGGGGCAATGTAAATATATATATACATTGCTTACTGGTGTACACCGCTTAGAGAGTGCTTGCACTTAAAGCGGTATATAAGTCTCATAAATAAATAAATAAATAAATAAATAAATTTGGATCAATGGTGCCTGTGAGGGCCTGGGCAGGAGTGGAACAGATCTGAGGGTCCCTGGAAGAAGGGGTTGGGACTGGGGCAAGTGCCAAGGCATGGTTCACTGGAGGAGCCTCACTGTTCCTCTCAGACCATGCAGGGGGGGGGGGCTGGATGGCAGCACGGGCTGCCCAGAGCCTGGGCAAACACCCAGCCTGGCCCTCGAGAACCTGCAGCACCAAGCCCAGCCCCACTTCCCCATGGGGGCGCCAAGGCAGCAGGGGCCGTTCCCTCATTGTTTCCAGGATGGCTTCACAGGCCAAATGAAACCACTTCACGGGCTGCATCCGGCCCCCAGGCCTTGTGTTTGACATGTCTGTTCTAACTATATCACAGTTAAGAGATTTCCTTCCTTCCTTCCTTCCTTCCTTCCTTCCTTCCTTCCTTCCTTCCTTCCTTCCTTCCTTCCTTCCTTTTCTCAGGAACAGTAAATGTTGATTAAGGCTTGAGGAACAATGTGTAATCCACAGCTTGTACCATCCACCCAGCTCACAAAGACAAAATCAAATCATGTTATGTTCCAGAATGTTCTCTTCATTGAATGAGAAAGATCCCTTTTTATTCTCCAAGAAATTCAATTTCTTATATATTTCTTATATATTTAAGAAATATGTGGCTTCACTGGGAAGATTATAGTCATTTTAAGATGAATTAAAATGAATTTTTAAGCAAGTAAACAAAGATATAATCAACCTTCGAAATGAGATGTATAGACTGCACCACAGTATTCCCCTGCCTATATCTCCCTGCATGGCCAACATGACTGAGTGTGACAATACTGCCCCCTGGTGTTAGTGATGAGGATAAGAGGAAGCCATTCTGATTTTCAGAAAGGGAAAAGAAGCTGAAAACAAATTAAAATCTTCAGGAGATTTAGTGAGTTTAGTGAGGTAATACTGAGAATCAAAGGATTTAGATCTGCAAACATACGCAGGAAAATGTGTAAGACATCAATCCATATTTCAACCTGTATTTAAATTAAACTTTTAAAAAACTACCCAGTTTATTCCACAGCCTGGAGTTTTCCTGTTTTTTTTTCCTCTATCCAAGTGCTATCAAGGTTCCACACTGCTTCTTCGAAGATCAGATTTGAGGTTCCACAACCTGTCATGTAGATTTATATTCTGCTTCTCAGTTTAAATACACAAGTTCAGCTTTCTGAATCAATTTAGAGAGCTGCTGAGAGGGGGGAAAAAGGTTTTTGCTTAGCATCTGATTCACTTCCTCTCACTGTGTCTTTTGTGCAGTAATAAACTGAAGTATCCTCCAGTTCCAGATTGTTCATCTGCAGATACAGCTGGCTTTTGGCATCGTCCCTGGAGTTGGTGAAGCGTCCCTTGACTTTATCTGGGTAGTAAGTGGAAGGAGATGAGCCTGTACTTATGGCGGCCACCCATTCTAGTCCTTTCTCTGGAGCCTGTCTCACCCAGTGCATCCAATAGCTGCTGAAGGTGAATCCAGAGGCTTGGCAGGAGAGACGGAGGGACCCTCCAGGGCTTCTCACACCCCCTCCAGATTCCACCAACTGTCCTTGAGATTTGACACCTAAAAACAAAAGTGTTTGAATGAAATCTTCTATGTACAAAAAGAGAATAGGGAAAGAAATTATTTAAAGAGGGAAAAAGTACTTTGAAGGAGTGCCAGCCAGGGCACCAAATTCAGCCACAGGATCATTTTTTGCTCCCTGCAATGAATGGAGGGAATTGATAGGAAAGGATTCAGGAAAGTGCACAAACTTTTTGTTGGTCAGTGTAGCCTGAAAAGGGAAAACAAATGACTCCTTTAAAGGGGAAATTGCTCCCTGATTTACATAAAACTTCAGATAAAAGAGCCTCTCAGTGTAATAATCTCATAGTTTTCCTTGTACATTCCTTACATCAGTGACTTTCAGAAAACATTCCTGTTTCAATAAAAGTGAAGGCAGTCTCTTTCTTTCTTTCTTTCTTTCTTTCTTTCTTTCTTTCTTTCTTTCTTTCTTTCTTTCTTTCTTTCTGTAATTTCATTGCAGAAATGGCAGGTTTATATTAGAGTAATTAAAACAAAGACTTGCAAAATTTCACCGCTTCTCAAAAATGATTCAAAGGGACAGGCAAGGGACATGCAATTATAATTTTTGAAAGAGCTATGCTAAAGATAGAACATAAAAAGAAGAACACATCCTGAGTTAAATAAAAGCTTTCCACTTTTTTTCTCCTTAACATGCCCTTTTCAAACCCCCCCAACCCCCCAAAAAAACTTGATGAGGCACAATTTCTAAGTCAGAGATAGAATAAGAGGAAAGACAGAGGGAAAAGAAATTCATCAAGTATAAATTATTTCTACAAATAAATAACTTTATACTCTACAAATAATTAAGTTTCCTCTATATTTGACAAAGCACATCTGCTATTAACTCAGACATTGCTTATATTACTTTATACAGTGAGGGTTGCGTGGGTATTTCCCTGATGGCACAGTGGTTAGAAAGTAGTATTGCATACAAACTCTGCCCACAGCCAGGAGTTCGATCTTGACTGGCTCAGAGTTGACTCAGCCTTTCATCCTTCTGAGGTCGGTGAAATGAGGACCCAGATTGTTGGCAACAATATGCTGACATTGTAAATCATTTTGAGAATGCTGTAAAGCACTATGGAGCAGTATATAAATCTAAGTGCTATTGCTATTGCTACTTGAACATGAAAAATTGCATTTATCAAAATATGTTCTATGCCACTTGTGTCCTTGTTTTCTAGGTTAATTATTCTTACTGTCTCTTGTTCAACACCAATGGTTCATTTCCATAGGTGAGTGTGGATTTCATTAGGATTAGACAGAGAGTGACCATTGTTTGATCTGTACATTAGTTACTTGTCTTTATTTCTTCAAACTCTATTCCTTTTTTCCTAATGTAGCATGTATTCTCCTCACTGATGTTACAGAATTATTTGCAACAAATTTGAGATTATGGGCAAGTCCTTATGATGAGACAGACATGTTTAATTATTAGTATGAAAAAAAAATGGGAAGGGCTGCTTTTGAGTAAATATTTCCTTACTTTGCAATGTGGGTATTGTGAGGCTGATTTTCCTAAGTCAAAAAACTTTACCTGCCCAAAATGAGACCAGTGGATTTGTTATTCCAGTTTAATTTCCCTGTTAAGCAAGATAGTTGAGGGATTCAAATCTTACTCAACCTCTCCCCCCCCCCCCCCAAAAAAAAGCAAGCCAGGTGAGCACATTCATTTCTTTGGTATCAGATTGTAGAAGGAGCAACTAAGCAGCTATGTCAAAGCAGGAAGACAGTCCAAAATATTGAGTCTCAAAGGGCTTCTGGGAGAGAAAGCTTGCACTGACTAAAGTTTATCTCCTTTGGATCAATCCTACTGAGGGGAGAGAACTTCAGGATTCAGGGTGTTGAATATATATTGATATAGAAAGAATTAAAATGGAGCAACATGTCTAAAAAAATTAAACCATGGAGAATTGGTAATACTGAGAATCAAAGGAAATATATCAAGGAAGCTCTGTAGATCCATGCTTCTACCTGTAAATACATTTTAACTTTTTAAAAGCTACCCAGATTATTCCACAGACTGGAGCTATCCTTCCCCCCACCCCAGCCCTGTCAAAGTGTTAACAAGATTCCACATTGCTTCTTAGAACAGGGGTGTCAAACTCAATTTCATTGAGGGCCGCATCAGCATTGCGGTTGCCCTCAGGGTGGGTGTGGCCAGGGTGGATGCAACCTACTGGGTGGGCATGGATGGAGTGAGTGTGCCTACTGGGTGGGTGTGGCCAGCTCTACATCATTTATGTCAAGGGTGCCTGTGGGGGCCTGGGCAGGAGTGGGATAGATCTGAGGGATGGCTTCACGGGCCACATGAAACCACTTTGCGGGCCACATCTGGCCCCCAGGCCTTGTGTTTGACATGTCTGTCTTAGAAGAACAGATTTGAGTTTCTAAAACCTGTCATTGAGATTTATCTTCTGCTTCCAAGTTCAAATACACAGTTTCAACTTCCTGTGATTGAATCATTTTGCAGAGCTGCAGAGAGGAAGAGAAGGTTTTTGCCTGGCATCACATCCACTTCCTCTCACTGTGTATCTCGTACAGTAATAGACAGCTGTTTCAGATTGTTCATTTGCAAATACAGCTGACTGCGGGAATCATCCCTGGAGATGGTGAAGCGTCCCGTGAATTTATCAGGGTAGTAAATGGAAGGAGATGAGCCTGTAAGTATTGTGGCCACAAATTCTAGTTCTTGCCCTGGAGCCTGTCTCACCCAGTGCATCCAGGAGGTGCTGAAGGTGAATCCAGAGGCTTGGCACGAGAGACGGAGGGACCCTCCAGGTCTTCTCACACCCCCTCCAGACTCCACCAACTGTCCTTGAGATTTGACACCTAAAAAGAAAAGTGTTTCAATGAAACCTTCTATATACAAAAACAGAATAGGGAAAGAAATTCTTTAAAGAGAGAAAAAGTACCTTGAAGGAATACTAGTAAGTGCACCAAATTCAACCACGGGATCATTTTTTGCTCCCTGTAATGAATGAATAGAATTGATAGGAAAAGATTCAGGAAAGTGCACAAACTTTGTGTTGGTGGGTACATCCTGAAAAGGGAAATCATGTGGCTTTAAAGGGGGAAATGTGCCTCAATTTACATATCACTTCAGATAAAAGATCCCCTCAGTGCATTAATCTCACAGTTTTCCTTGTATGCTCCTTACATGGGTGACTTTGACATAACATTCCAGTCTCAATAAAAGTGAAGTCAGTCACTCTCATCCTTTTTTACTGTAAATTCATAGCAGAAATGGCAGATTTATATTAGAGCAATTAAAACAAAGACTTTCAAAATTTCACCACTTCTCAAAAGTGATTCAAAGGGACAGCCGAGGAACATGCAATTATAATTTTTGAAAGAGCTACATTGAAGATAGAACATGAAAAGTAGAGCACATCTGAATTCAGTAAAAGTTTTCCACATTTTCTCTCCTTACCATGCCCTTTTCAAACGAAACCCCCAAAACCTGAACGCTTGATGAGGCACAAGTTTTAAGTCAGAGTTGGAATGAGGGAAAAGACAAAGGGGGAAGAAATTCAACAAGTATAAATTAGTTATTTTTACAAAATTCTCCTCATTGACATTACAGAATTCTTTGCAACAAATTTGAGATTACGGGCAAGGCCTTATGATAGTCAAGGCAGACACATTTAATTATTAGTATGGAGGAAAATGGGAAGAGTTGCTTTTGAATAAATACTTACTTGCTTTGTAATCTGGATATTGTGGGGCTGATTTTCCTAAGTCAAAAACTATACCTGCACAAAATGAGACCATTGGATTTTTTTTAATTTTATTTTAATTTCCCTATTAAGCAAGATAGTTGAGGTATTCAAGTCTTACTCACCCTCCTCCCCACAAAGGTTACTTTTGAGTAAGCCAGGTGAGCACATTTATTTCTTTGGTGTGAAATTGTACAAGGAAATTGTACAAGCAACCACATCAAAGCAGGAAGACAGTCCAAAATAAGTCTCAGAAGGATTCTGGGAGAGAAGGCTTGCAGTGACCAATATTTATCACCCTTGGCTCAATCCTACTGAGAGGAGAAAACTTCAGGATTCAGGGTGTTGAATATATATGGGTATAAAAAGAATTAAAAAGGAGCAACATGTCTAAAAACAATGAAGAATTGGCAATACTGAGAATCAAAGGAAATATATCAAAGAAGATCTGGAGATCCATGTTTTAACTTTTTAAAAGATCCCCAGTTTATTTCACACCCTGGAGATGTCTTTTTTTTTCCTGTCAAAGTGCTAACAAGATTCCACACTGCTTCTTTGAAGATCAGATTTGAGTTTCTATAACCTGTCATTGAGATTTATCTTCTGCTTCTTAGTTCAAATTTGTTGTTGTTGTTAATTGCGAAGTCATGTCCGACTCATTGCGACCCCACGGACAACATTCCTCCAGGTCTTCCTGTCCTCTACCATCTTCTGGAGTCCATTTAAGTTCACACCTACTGCTTCAGTGACTCCATCCAGCCATCTCATTCTCTGTCGTCCCTTTCTTCTATTGCCCTCAATCTTTTCCAGCATTAGGCCCTTCTCCAGTGAGTCCTTCCTTCTCATTAGGTAGCCAAAGTATTTGAGTTTCAACTTCAGGATCTAAAGAGCAGTCAGGGTTGATCTCTTCTAGGATTGACCAGTTTGAACGCCTTGCAGTCCAAGGGACACGGAGGAGTCTTCTCCAGCACCATAGTTCAAAGGCCTCAATTCTTTGCCATTCAGCCTTTCTTATGGTCCAACTTTCACAGTCAGTTCAAATACACACATTCAATTTTCTGAATCAATTTTAAGAGCTGTTCAGAGGAACAGGAAGTTTTAGCTTGGCATCAGATTCACTTCCTTTCACTGTGTATCTTCCACAATAGATGGTGAAGCATCCCTTGAATGTATCTGTGTAGTAAGTGGAAGGAGATGAGCCTGTAAGTATTGTGGCCACAAATTCTAGTCCTTGCCCTGGAGCCTATCTCACCCAGTGCACTCAGGAGTTGCTGAAGGTGAATCCAGAGGGTCTACAGGAGAGAAGGAGAGTGTCATGGTTCCAAAAGAAGAAACTCTTCAAAGAACTTTGAGGCATTGTTTACCTTAAAGAACCTTTTTAATTGCTACATAGCTTCGGCACATACATAGTGAAGCCAAAATCTGAATTATCCTCCCCCAGCACACCGTAACAAAGCATAACTCACTTCTTCA